TTAATTTAAAATACCAGAAATAGTGAAAGGTCAATTGGCAGATCCCAGTAGTGGAGATCCTGGAGAGATACAGTTATTACTTGGTGCAGAAGTGTTTTATACCTTCTTTAACGGTGAAAAATTTGAAATTGATAATAATTTAATGTTACATAACACTGTTCTCGGATGGGTTTTGACTGGCAAGGTGTCTAATAATCAATTTAATCATATCGAAACATGTATGCATGCTTGCTTCAGTGAAAGAAGAGTTGAACCAGCATTATCATTATTTGTCACTAAATCAAATGGCCGTCGAACCGATGAGCAGAAAGCAGAAAAACATTTCAATGACACTCATTGCAGGGATGATTCTGGAAGATTTGTTGTCCGGCTTCCAATAAATACTGATATCGGCACACTTGATGATTCCAATTATATGGCTCAACGTCGGTTTCTAAACTTGGAGAGGCGACTGTCCAGAGACAAAGGGCTTGGTATTGCATACCATAAATTCATGTCTGAATATTTAATTTAGAATCATATGGAATTAGTAACTGCTCCAGATCCTTATAAATATGTCTATTATTTGCCACATCATGCTGTAATGAAAGAATCTAGTATTACAACCAAATTAAGTGTTGTTTTTGACGGATCCGCTCCATCTAGCTCTGGATTATCTCTTAATGATATTTTATACCTAGGTCCCAAGGTTCAGCCAGATTTGTTAGATATTCTATTGAGGTTCAGAATGCATTCTATAGTCATAACAGCTGATATTGCTAAGATGTACAGGCAAGTGCTTATACACCCTGAGGATCGAGCGTTACAAAGAATATGGTACAGAGAAACTCCGGAACAGTCTTTAAAGGAATTTGAGTTACGCACAGTCACTTATGGTACAAAGGCTGCATCCTTTCTTTCTACATGGTGTTTATTGCAGCTGGCTCCTGAAGTTGAAGATCCAAGTCTCAAACGTGTCATATCTAGTGATTTTTACGTTGATGATTTACTTACCGGTTGTGCCACTGAAGATGCATATTACTCACTTTATCAAAATGTCAATAAAGTCTTGGAAGGAGCTGGACTTCCGCTTCGGAAATGGTGCTCTAACTCTAGCTCATTAATGTCTCGCATTCCCACGGATACGGATGATGCAACACATCGGTCCTCAAGGACTCCTGGCTCACATCCATAGGACATACTTGCCTATCAGAGGCAGAAGTTTAGCTCGTCTAACTGTCCATAAATGCATAATTTGTTTTCGATCCAAACCACTGATGCTCCAACCTGTCATGGCTCCCTTGCCTTCAGTTCGTGTCACCAGATGTCGGGCATTTGAAAATGCTGGTGTTGACCTGTGCGGTCCTATCAACATTCGTAGCGGTTTAAGAAAGGTCACACCATTGAAGCATTACATTGCAGTTTTTGTGTGCATGGTTACGCGTGCAATTCATTTGGAGCTTGTTCGAGATTTATCTTTAGATGCGTTTATTTCAGTATTATTCCGATTTATTGCACGCTGAGATCAATGTGTAAAATTGTATAGTGACAATGGCACTAACTTCATAGGCGCCAAAAAGATTTTTTCATCGTGGGCATTTGATTTATCTAAAGAAAGTAAATTTAATGATCGACTATCAGAATTGGGCATTGAATGGCAATTTATTCCTCCGTCAGCCCCACATTTTGGCGGACTGTGGTAGTCTGCGGTTAAATTGGCAAAACAACATCTTGTTAAATATAGTAACGGTGCTCTTTTAATTTATGAGGAAACTAGTACATTGTTGTGTAGAATTGAAGCGGTCCTCAATTCAAGCGATACCAAAGGAATAACATTTAAAGTTGAAATAGATGGGTTTTCTATGGATTCGCCTGCTAAGTCTTTTATTTTAAAAGTTAAAGGTCATGCTGGATTTGATTTATGTACTAGATGCCTTGAAGAAGGTGAACACTTAAAAAATCGGACTTGTTTTCCTTTAACATCCAATTCAACAAAAAAAAGATCCTATGACGATTATATAAACAAAAAAAATGAGGAACATCATGTTGGAAATGCTATTTCTATTTTATCAGAGTTACCTTAATTAGACCTTGTATACTCTATTGGACTAGATTATATGCATTTAACTTGTTTAGGTGTGATGAAAAAGTTAATGCAATTATGGATTGAGAAAGGATCTGTTAATGTTCGCTTACCAAGTTTGGCAACAAAACAAATATCATCATTTCTATTGTCTTTGCGTCCTCATATACCATGTGAATTTGCTCGTACGAGCCTTAAGTGAATTACCCAGATTTAAGGCGACTGAGCTTCACCAACTTATGGTTTACATAGGCTAAATTGTGTTCAAACCATTTTTAAAAGAGCACTGTTTCAACCATTTTATGATACACAATATAGCGATGGTTATTTTGTTGAGTAATAATATGAATGATTACATAGACTATGCTCCTATGACCTTATGATTTATTTTGTTAAACAATTTGAAATAATTTACGGAAAACATCTTGTGTCTCATAATGTTCACGGTATTATTCATATAGCAGATGCAGTGGCGCATTTAGAATATATGCGCCCCGGGGCGAAATTATTTTATTGCCGCCCCCCCCCCCCTTCTGGTCACTACTCATTACAACCTCAGACCTACCATAGGGTTTAACAGTATACAATTTCAAAAGGTTTATTCAATGAAAAAATCATACAAAATACTTAATGACATAAGTCAATTTCTATTTATTTTATTGAACAGTTTAATTACAATTTTTTTCTTGCCTGTTGGTTTTCAAATTCATCAATAATGTCATTATATTGGAGTTCATTTGTCAACTTGGATTCTATATTGAGCATGGCTAAGGAGTTTAACCGTTTCATTCCAATTGTAGACCGTAGATAATTTTTGACTCTTTTAACTTTTAAGAGCAGAAAATGATCTCTCTGCAGAACAATTGCTAGATGGAGTACATAATAGCATCCTAAGAGCTATGTCTACATATGGATAAAGTTCAATTAGGTTATTCACTTTTATAAAAGTCAACGAATCCTGAGCGGTCCCTGGGACTATTTTCTTCATTTTTTTTAAACTTAGTATGTGTGCTCTGAAGTGGACACATTCATTTGGAAAAGTTTTCCCAAGATCATCCTTATATATTTGCTGTAGAACTGCAGCCTTTTCTCTTACCTCCACAGTAGTAATTTCCGTAATAAAACCACAAAAATTGAGTATATGTGTTTACACCTTACAAGGGCTACACCACATAATATGACATAATGACGTATTATATAAAAATTATACCTTCAATTTTGAATTCTAAACGGCTTGAATTCGTTTAGTAATAAATAATAATTCGTTTTATACGTTATCAGTCGACAATCATACATTCATATCATATCACAATATCTGCACATTTAAGGCGGCTCTAAACGATTGGATTTTTCATGCATTTAGACCAATAAGCTGGCGAAAAATACACATACTTCTAGTAGTCCAATTTCAATTTTGAATACTTATTTGGATTCGTTAGCCTCTTTTCTATGATCTGTAGGAAAAACTTTTTCATCTTTTTGTCTAGTTAGCACTTAAAAGTGCAAGTTAAATTTGAGAAATCAAGCAGTCATTTGGAACCGTAATATACGTAAATTATCTAAAATATCCAAAATCGGTTTCCTACAAATCATAAAAAAGAGGCTGACAAATTCAAATAATTTTTCAAAATTGAAATTGGACTACTAGAAGTATGTGTATTTTTCGCCAGCTTATTAGCATTTTTCACTGTTGTGAGTGTACAAAAATATTTTTCGAGAGTGATTACGTTGACTTGTGCATGCGCGTACGTGTGCTATTGAACCGTGTGCCCGAAGCCGGGCGATATAAAATCTATTGTTATCGAGTTCGAATTTCTTCGAATTTCACACTAATAAACGACTAACACATAGATTACGGGCGGCTACAACAAGATTAGAAATTGCCTAAATTGTTCCCCTTAAATAATAGCCACTAAGAGCCGCCTTAACTCAAAATGATTTGATACGATAATCAGTTATCACAAAATCATTATCATAAAATATTATACCTTATACAATTTATACACGTTAAACAATGTTATATTATATTTTGTGATACAAAAAAAAAAAATAAAAAATACACTCGATAAAACTGCCGCCCCTAAAACTCTTAAAAATTTGCCGCCGGGGGCATTTGCCCCCTTCGCCCCCCCCCCTAAATGCGCCACTGAGCAGATGATTATGAACGGTTTGGTCCATTAAATAATATTAGTGCATTCCCGTTTGAAAATTTCATGAACAATTTTAAAAAAAAACTTAATAAACATGAAATGCCTCTTCAACAATTAATCAAAAGTTTTCATGAAGAATTTGGTCTTAGTGAAAGTAATAAAATAAATATTTCTCCTGAAGAAATACACTTTAAAAATGAGCACTTAAATGGACCATTACAAGATGATTTAATAGGACCTCAGTACAGTACTATTTATTTAAGAAAATTAAAAATAACTATTAAAACAACCAATGTTGCGGATCGTTTTGTACTTACTAATAGCAATGACATTATAGAAGTAGTAAATATTGCACATACAAAAAATACAAACAAAACAGTTATAGTGGGAAAAAAGTTTTTGACAAAAAGCACCTACTATCAACAGCCTATTTGTTCTACGATATTAAATATATACCAAGTTGAACATTTATCTAATACCTTACACACCATTTTTATAGAAGATATTAAAAAAAAAATGATTCTGCTTGAAACATTGGACAAAAAAAAAGTAGCTTTTCCAATTATGCATATTGCAAAATTATAAATTTATTTAACACACAATATAATCATCTATTTATAATGAAAACCACAAACATTATTATACTAGCTAATATATTGAATTATTAAAGAACACGTAACAGTTAATATTTTTCTATGATATCATATATATGTGTTGTATGTTCTAGTATATTTAAATAACCAATGTGTTGAAATTAAATTTGTTTATTTAATTTAGATATTTCAATCATGTGGTCAATAGTTTGTTTCATCGATGAAGATACTTCTGAATGTGTACCAAATTTTTGGTTAAAAAATTCATTATGAGCGTGGCCAAATAAAGATTGCAATATAAAACCTCAATTAGCAGTAGAGCGTCGCTTAGTACCTAACTCAATTGAGTTTGGTTATTATAATGCACGGCCATTAGCAAGAGATATAAGTAAGCATCTTTATGAATTCATTACAATTTATATTATATACTATTAATTTTAAATTATTATATTATAATGTTGGAAATATATATTTGTAGAAATCAGCAGTAACAGCAGTGATATAGTCGATGATAATGATGATTCCGATGTTGATGAAACATATGAACCATGTCCATTTGTAAGAAATCACTCACCAGATGTATTATTGAGTATGTACTATATAATATAACCTTTCCATATATACTATACAGTATGTCTATTAATATTGTTTTCTCTATTATAATCTATATAGTTTATTAGTTTTAAAAATAATATAAATCATTATACCTAAATGTATAACTATAAAATATACATTTTTGTAATGTAGGTGTTTGAAATTTCCTTATATCACAAAAATAATTTAAGCATATTTGATTTCTTTAAGCGAATACACACTCTTAATACTTGGATTAAAACTCAATTGAACAACATTTTTAAATTGTAGGTCCAGGTAATATTGATCTAGATTTAAATTATAAAATAATGAATAACAATATGGCAAATCAAAGTGTTAGTAAAACATCTACACCAGTGTCCAGAAAAAAAGATAATGACTTATTAAAATGTATTAGCGATGACAATGAAACATCAAAATGTAATTATAATTAAACAACAATATAATAATATTATAACGGTTGTCTAATTAATGTTTTTTTTTTTATTATTTTTAATATTTATTGTTACAGCTGATTTTGAAGAATACAGCCAAAAGAAAAAAGGAAGTTAACCAACTCATTCTATTTAAATTCAAATGATAATAATATCACCAGTGATCCAAAGCAGAGTTCTACTGATGGTAATTAGAAAAATTTACTTATGTTATTTATTTATTTATTAACGAGTAGTGCCCTAAAATAGGATGGACAAAATAGGTGGATACATTTTGGATTATATATATTTATATTAATTATAACCTGCTTTGTTCATTTTTAGAAATGCTGAGATCTCTTATACGTTCTGTTACCAACATTAAGTATGAATTAAAAGATATGACAACAAAAATGGATAGGATTGAGGAAAGACAAACAAATATGATGCTCTACACCACCAGTAATGATTATACATGTAATAGTAGTGGTAATGTTTTACATACTAATAGTATTGATGAAACTTGGAATTTCCCTCTTACTTCTTTTGAAGAATTGGATGGCTTTGAACAAAAGTTGTTGGATGATGGTTATAAAATTAAATTGGTAAAAATAAAGATATTATTAATTACTATTAAAAAATGTATTTAAATATGATGTTATGTCAATATATATTTAATATACATTGACATATATGTATTAGTTTATTGTAAGCATAAATATATTTTTAAATAGATGTGTTCAAAATTAATTTAGATCAGTTATTTAAGAAGATTGGAAAAACCAACAATTGGGGCGATGACTAGGGAGATTTTGGCAAAATTATTCCACAATGATTTATTGGCACAATTTTCATGTCTGTCAAAAAGGGAAAAAAGTATTTTCAGTATTAAACACATGTTCTATCTTATTTGGTAAGCATTAAAATTTATGATAAGTTACAAGATTAAATAAAATATTTATTATATGTTTATTTAGGTGCTGTTAGAGGTGTCAAAAATTATAAGAACTGTACGGACATTGATATAATAAAGCCATTAAAGCCTTACTTGGCTAATGCTACTGCTCGTGGAAAACCAAAAAGAAAGGACTAATAATATACCTAATATTTTTTTTTAATGTTTAACTTTTGTATTAAGTTTTTAATGAGTTATTGTATACAAATATTATTTTATACATAATAATATAGTAACATTATAATGAATGTATGCAATTTTATATTTAAATAAACAGTGATGTTCATAAATAAATATTGTTACTAACTAAAATATAGTAAATATAAGATATTATAAATATTAGAAGCTCACTGATAAATTAAAAAATATGAGGATCACCAAGGAAGACAATATATTCAATGATTAATTTATAAGGTACCTATTAAAAGCTTTTTAAATGAAGTAGAAGCATGATAGATTATGCCAATATATTCACAATTTGCTGTATGTAATTATGTAGCTGGTATATAATATAATGATATTTCCAACCACCAACTATATAGGTATATAATAATATATATTATTCCTTTAAAACACATGGTATAATAATAAGTCAAAATAAAATAATATATTAAATTATATTCATAATATATTTCATACATAATATGTTATAAGATATTATAAATATATATACAAAATATTTTTGAAATATTGTTAAAATGTCTTATGAAATAATTTTTAAATATATTAAAGATATTTAAACAAAATATTTATAAGATATACCAAGATATTTTAAAAATAACTCATAATTATTTTGTATGACTTAAAAGGTGGCCAAAAAATATTTTTATGATATAGGTAAAATGGTGTATTCCCAGTTCGCCGACACCCAATTCGCCGACACCCAGTTCGCCGACACCCAGTTCACCGACACACAATTTGACAACACCCAATTTGAAAAAGTACAGTTCAGTTATAAAAATATATAAATAACATGTAATACAAAAATATAAAATAGTAAATATATTACATAGTCATCATATAATAAAAAGTATAAATAAAAATAAAAATTGTTAAATGCGAATATGATATTTTATGGTGTCAATATACTCAATTAGAGTAATTTCGTTTTCTCTTAACCTGAAATAGTAAAATATAATTATGTATTTAAAATATAGATAGATATAAATATGGTATCCATTTTTCTACACATTATTTTAAGTAGTCATAATAGTATGTTGCATAAAATAAATATTTTGCGTACCTTTCTTTAACATTTTTCAACTGTTCCTCGAGCTTACGAAATTTTAAACTTTAAGTACCTATAATCAGTGCTTGAATTGGAAAAAAATAGAAGGGGGATGCAAAAGTATAAAAGATATGTGCGTCCCCGAACATTTAAATGTCTTACTGTTAAGTGGTAGCATATGTCCCCCTCCCGCTACAATGACATTTTACACCATACAGCAATAAACAAATATTCCTTTTTATTTAAAAATTAAAAATAAAATATTGTAAAATACATAATAATAATTGTTATTTGTTTTATAAATTTAAATATGCCCATAAATGTTTATATGAATGATCTATGTCATGTTCGTCTCGTTTTGGACATCTTGTTTCTTCTGCACTTCTTTTACCCGTTTTAATCCAACTTTTTACATAGTGGTCTGGTTTAAACAATTGAACAGGTGGTCCAACTCAACTAATAAACACTAATGATGCTATGTGTTCAGAAGTTAGTACGTTTCTTTTAGGCGTTATTATGTTGTTCATGGAACTAAATGATCTTTCACATTCAAATGAAGATACAGCAATAGTTGAAATTGCAGTTAAAAGTGGGTTTAATGTTGGTATTTTGAGGAATCTTTCAAGTCTTTCAAGTCTCTAAATCCTCGAATTGCGGATACTTCATTTAAGTAGTCTAGGTTTAAGACATATTATATACATATCTATGGTATTAAAAAAAAAATTGACCTATAATAAATTCCAAATTAATCATATCACAATATCCATTAGGTACTTATAACACGTTATACAGCAATAAAAAACCCTGATACTATCATAGATATATAATATAGTGTACTTAAGAAGTTTCAAGTACCCACGAATAGTATTATACACTCACAACAAAATAACTAAAATAGGTAGGTATGCTAGGTTTTTTAATATGTAATTTCGTCCCAAATTTGAACTTAAAATGACCATAAAAAGATTTTTTGGTAACAGAATTAACTACTTACGTGGAATCTTGTTTTAAATTTTCAATCCTTAGCTATAAAAACTGAACATTTTATAATTTATTAATTACGATGATTGATAATTTTCGAGATTTTGATAAATTTTGTCAAAATGCGATCTTTAAATGCTTATAGAAAAAAATTGTGACTATGTATTTTTAATATTTTTCAATTGATAATGTAACAATATATCAGGAGCATTGTATTAATTTTTTACACTTTTTGGCCCAACAGATAAAACTTTATTGATATTTATAGAAAAAAAAAACTAAAAAAATTGAAAACTAAAAAGGTCCGTAAACGGCTGAAAAAGAGTCAAAATATTTTCAAAATTGTATGGTGTATAGGAAATGCTAATATAAACATTCAGTGAAATTTTCATGTATCTACAGTAATTCGTTTTTGAATTACAACAAAATAAGGAAATCGCCACATGAGAAATCGAGTGAATATCCAATGTTGTAAAAATTTGAATTTCAAACGCTCATAAAAATTTAATTTGACTTTCTTACAGAATTTTTTTTTTTGATAAATGTTGGAAATCTTATAAGGAATCTTGTATTACATTTTCATATCTTAGATTTAAAAAGAAAAATTTTTATGAATTTCTAACTCGAAATAATTTGCAAATTTTCGTGATTTTTCCATATTTTGTCATTTTTTGAACTTTAAATGCTTAAAAAAAAAAACTGTGACTAACGATTTTTAATATTTTCAAATGCCATTGCAACAATATAGTAGGAGCCTTGTATTAAATTTTCAAGTATTTTTACTCAACAAATAAATTTTTATTGATATTCATAAAAAAAAAAAACTAATAAAATTGTAAACTGAAAATGTCCCTAAACAGTTCAAAATAAATCAAAATATTTTGAAAATGTTATCGTGTATAGAAAATGCAAATATAAACAACCACTGAACATTTCATGTATCTACGGTAATTTGTTTTAAAGTTACACCAAAAACCAAAATCAAATTTCTCGAAAACAGATTTTGTGTAAAAATTCCCGTTTTTCCTTAATTTTTCTTTGGTTTTCCGCAGCGCTTATACTCATCATTAAATATGTTTACAGATATCATAACTTTGCCGATATCATAGCCGATAGGTACCTGTTCTTATACCTACTCATCGTGCACGATAAAATAAATTTACAGATTATGATAGTAGCTATTATAGTTTTATTGCAATGCAACAAAGCATGTCGTCAATATCATTTGTCTTCGAATTGGGCTTTTTTTAAAAACCATTAAAAACTGGTTTTTTGATCAAAAAACCGGGCGAATTGGGTGTCGGCGAACTGGGCATAAACCAGGTAAAATATAATTCGATGATCTAAAATCATATATAGGATGTATATTATTAAAAGGAAAATATTTTTAAGACACATAGAAGATATTTATGTGCTGTGTGGGATGGTAATACAAGGGATTTATTTGATAAAAAATTATAAAATTGTCATGAAAATGTACATTACTAGTCGTAGGTATTCATCGTGATACTAAGATATTATTTATCTAATTAGGTATATACTTTATACCATTACAAAATATAGTTATGGAATTAATTTTAAAAAAAAAATTATATTATTACATACTGTATTTTCCAATGTTATATCTTGTGATTGCTGTGTTGTCGTATCCAAAAATATTTCTTCATTGTCCTCATCCATTGTCGATGTTCCACTAATTTGAATCTCATGGTCCCGTAAAAATTCCAATTCTTCAAAATACCAAACTGAAGGCAAGTATACAGGGTGTAACAAAAAGATATGACAAAATCAATTTTGGTTTTTGGTTAAACTCTAAAACAAATGAACGTATATACATGAAATTTTCACTTAAAGTTTATATTCGCATTTTCTATACACGATAAAATTTTCAAAACATTTTGATTTGTTTTGAACTGTTTAGGAACATTTCCAGTATATGTATATGTCATATCTTTCTGTTATACTCTGTATATCATCGGTACTTGCACCTGTTTTTTACTAGCTATCACTTTTTTCAACTCACGACGATAATTTGATCTCAAAGTGTTAAGTTTTTTTTAAGTAGTATTAATATCAGCTGATGGATCAATTTCCTTTAGTTTTTCTGTTAACTTAATGTAGCATTCTTGTTTTAAAACTCTATCTTTGTACATGTCACTTTTTATTTTCGAAGTATCTGGTAAACCGCGGTATAAATGTATAAATTCACGCCAAAAATCTTCATTATTTACCTTATTAGCCATTTTATTGTTATTTTACTACGAGGATGGAAATATACAAAACAGAAACGACTTGTCCAAACTTAGGTGGTCTTAAATAAAACTATGGGGAGGGGCTAAGAAAATATACAAAGACATACAAAAATAAACAAATGTAATAATGTAACAACTCTATTCGATATTATTTGTTGCTTCGTCAGTTATTACTGTGATAGTAGCAGTTGATGCTTCTAATGGTACAATTAATGATATCAAAGTAACAATTGGACGATGACAACCGAAATATGCTACAAAAGTACATGACATTGGCCGTCACACTACTCGTCGACAAATAGTGTTCACTTTGGTGGTACATAATTTTGATTGGCGATGAGATAACGTTTTCAAATATATTATAGGCGATCAGGTACTGTCTCAAGAATCTAATGGTATGATTGGTTTTTATTTTTGTTTATTTTTAGTGTTTGTACCTATTTATTTTTTCCCAGAAGTGACGATGTCTTCGAATTTCGATAACAATAACATACCATCCTCTATTATTGTTGTTAAACTCTAGATATAATTAATTTAATAACATTAATAACTTAAAACCTTTTAACTTATATCTTTGTATGTATACAGCGTGATCCTTCAATACACAGAATGATTGAAAAATATAAAATTATTTTCATCACTAATTATTGAATTTATTTTTGATATAAAAATTATTAAGAGCAGTACCATCAGTTTTTATATTTTATTTACTTCTACCCTTCAAATAATAATAAGATTAAATATTATTAAATATTATTTATATACAGATTGCAGAGCACGGGTCGCCGGTATTGACGGATAGTCGACCGGACATATTTTAAATAATAGCTCAACGTCATACAGACTAAAGGTACGTTTTCCCTGCAGCGTCCAGACGCATTGTTACTATAAATACATTTATTTTATATTCGACCGTTTTCTTACCTGCTTTCAACGTAACGAATCGATAAATGACGCAGTACCAGTCAGCACTAGTGTCAAAAGATTAATAATGTCCAAAAAATTTGTTTTTACTTCAACTGAGGATGCGATTTTAACTGAATATGTATAACAAAAAAGAGAAATGTTTGACAGTGCTCACCCTAAGTATAGACGTTAATTTTAAAGAAAAAATTTGGAAAACAATTTCTGAATAAGTCGCTAGAACAGGTACGTATGAAATATAATACTAATTTAATTAATTGAATATATATTCAAACAAGATATTTATTTATTAGATTCACTAAAAACATATTAAATGTATATTATTTAATGTAATTACTTAACTTTTATTGAAAATTATCAAATGCAAATATAATAAGGTTATTATATACTTTTAAATTACGGAAGTTTAATAATTATTTATTAATTATTTAATGGTTCATTTTTTTTATAGATGAAGACTGCAAAAAAAGGTGGAGGAACATTAGAGATACATACATGAAACAGAGGAAAAAAACTGTCGACTGAGTCGGCTACTTCTGAAAAATTAATAGGACACTGTCATGCTTATCGTTCATGGATTCAGTTGAATACGAAAGAAGGTAATGAAAATATAAATTTTTTAGTTGTTAATTATGTACTAAAATTAAAGTTTATAAATTGTGGGATTAAATCAAACGTCAAAAATCAAGAAAATTATAATTCTTTGTCAACTGCTGAAGACGAAGATGAAACACAAAATGAAACGGTAAACGACAAGGATACATTTGAATCACCGAATACATTGTCAGATTTACCATCAATGTTATCATACGCAGAGAAACAGATTAGGTCCAAAGAGGATAAAATTGGTGCAATATTGTTAAAAAGATCAATATTGTTTAAAAGTTTAATTTAGTATATTTTTAAATTTTTTAAAACATTTTATTTTTATGTATTGGGTCTCTTTCCAATAAATAATGGTGTTGTATCCATTTTCTTGTTCTGCTGTTTCTTCTCATCTTTATCATCAACCTAAACAATAAGAAAATGAAGAATAAGAGAAAATAAAAATTGTAGAAGTAAAAAATTGTTGTGAACAGAATGTTATTATGTTATTATCCATGAATAATAATTATTAAGTTATTAATTAATATTAACCCTGACGTGTTGATGTTATGTATTTGTTCAACAGACACTCAACATAGGAATTCAGATGTGTTCTATTACTGTAATACTGATTTATTAATAAATCAATAAGAATACAGTCTTGAACTTGTCCTCAAGTCTATTAGATCAACCTTCCCATATTTTTGATTTATCTCCCTAAATTCTAAAAAAACTTTTATTTAATAAGTAGAATTAAATAATTATCATATTTCCATTTTTAGACAAAAACACTAACAATGTGGGTAAGTAGATCTCAAGTAGACTATACAACAATTTTTATCTGTTGGCAGAATTCTTATCACTTCACTAGATCAATAGAAACATTATTAAAATATTATCTAAATTCCCATGTAAGTTACAAATAAACAGAAAATTTTCACCTCATAAGTTATAATATTATAATATAATATACAAGCCAAATACCACTCACTCACTCATTGAACGTTACATCTCAAAAACTACAAAACATACAAACTTGAAATTTGGAACAGTGGTTTCTCTAATGATCGAGATGTGCAATAAAAAAAGATTTTTCAATATTTGCATTTTAAAGAGGCGGTAAACTTTTTTTTTGTTGTAATAAATGGTTGTCATTAGTTACTTGGGCAGATCAGGTACAAGCATGCATCAAATGATCACGTTTATGGCCTCGATTAAAGAAACTATATCTTTAAGCCAAATGTATGTATGTAACTTACATACTCAAAAACTACTCAATTAAATTTGAAGAAAATCTCAAAGATTGTTTATAGAGATATCAGAAAAATTTAGAGGAAGTAGTTTAAAAAAAATTAAAAAATATACTAAGAGCTAAATCCAATCCACGACATGTGGTTGCCCATCTAGGTAAAATTATTTCACAAAGCTACGCATACTGACACCCATTTCAACTGAGGTATACTAAAACTAAGATATACTTATATAGCGTATTAACTATATAAGATTTGCCACAAAAAAAAAAAAAAATGCACACAAGGTAAGCCAGGATATTCAGCTAGTATAATATAATATAAATATTATTTCTGTAAAGTTAAATAGATTAAAAAAATAAAACATTAAAACACATCTAAACATTAGTTGTATAGTATTATAGTATTATCTGTTATCATCAATTGCAATTGTTAATAAAGGGGGGTTCACATTACACCGTGTAGTGTAAAATAATCAAGGTTACCACAGTTACCAAACGATACCGCATAGTTGAATATATTACACGACACGGTGTAGTGTGAACCCCCCTTTATACTTTTAAAAAACTATACTAATTGTATATCTTAAGTGTAATAATCCAAATAAATATTATAATAAATCAATGAAGGTTAATAAGAAAAACAAAACAACTAGGAAATATTTTGTTACAATTTCAAGTTTCAATGTAAAAGTAAATATTTTGTTAGTATACACTAATATATTGTATATTTACGTTATTAATATCATTTTCGTGTAAATTGATACGATGTTGTTTACGTTCTGATCTTGTTATGTTATGGGTTGCTTTCATTGAAGTGGTTTTTATTTTGATGGTCTTTAAAATTTCAGAGGTTTGTTCCAACTAAAAAAAATAATATATACCTGTTTTAATTAGATTAATTTTATATAATTAGAAGAGGTAGATGAGGTGGTATTTTTATACCTAATATAGATTTGACTAAACCTATAGCCAAAGACGAAACCACCAACAAGAACATAATAATCTAATTCGAGAAGACACTGAATAATGTTTTAAGTGGATGTCGTACCCGCATGTGTTGTTTCCGTCTTACTAATACATAATATATCAAAATGTATGTCTAGTAGTACCAACTCTGTGTTGTTAGCTTAAATATTAGAGTGAATCGATCTATTATCAAATTTAAATGTAAGAACATAATCTTTGTTCTGTAGTTGGTTTTTTACGATATTTAGATTTTTAAGTGAGTTATGAGTATCTAAAATATTAATATTTGAAAATGCTCATAATTCACTTAAAATTGAAATATCGTAAAAAAACCAACGAGAGACACACATAAAGTTCTTTATTAATTTAAAATAGATAACAGATCAATTCACTCTAATATTTAAGCTAACAACACAGAATTGGAACTACTAGACATATATTTTGGTATATTATGCGTAAATGAGGCCGAGACAACATATTTATTTATTTATTTTATAATATATTAAGGGCTTTCACCCAAATTACAACGTCCTCTTTATGCCAAAAAATAAAATAATAAATATTATACAGGGTGATTCCCCAAGCATGCTAAACCCAATTCGCCTTTAATAATGAATTTATTAAAATTCTGATTTTTTGAATTCTTAAATATACTCAAATACCATAATTTAAAATTCTTGAAATTTTTGTCTTATTAAAGGAGTGTTCTGTGGCAATCCAAACTTCTGTTTTTCAAATGAGAACCACCATTTTTTTCTGTAAATAATTAAGTACATAATTTTCTTGATAATGTAGATGTACCTAATTCAAAATTCACATGAGTAGTTTCTAAGTTATCAAAAGGTTTGTACTAAGGATAATGGTCCTTAAAAATGGTTTTACAAAAAAATAAAGTAGATGTAAAATGTTATCTATATTATGTATTATGTCCAGCGAGAGTTCTGCGCATGTAGATTGACGACCGAACAATTGCCGAGGTCTTGTTTCTCCCTCTCTGGGTGTTCTCAACAAGATGTGCCGTCAGATGGTTGTGGGACAGGTATGCCCGAAACTAGACTGATTTTGGTAGGGCTGTGGATTATTCTCTCGCTAAATAGAGTATAGTATTTATTATAGTATTTTTTTTACAAATTATTAATATTGAAAGATTAATGTTAATGACTAAAAAGTTGAAATACTATTGCCTCCATTTTTTTATAAACCCACTTCTATGGATCATTTATCTTTAGAACACAGCTAAATAACTTAAAAACTACTAGTAAAAATGTTGATTCTGATGCATACAAAGTTTCAAAACAATTATCTTTTGTATAATTTACAGGGTAATTTACAGTCGAAAAGGGATGTTCTCATTGGAAAAACAGAAGTTTGTATCTCCACAGAACACTCCTTAAGTAGTACAAAAAGTTTCAAAGTTTGAAAATATGGTCTTTACATATATTTAATAATTTTTAACATCAGATTTTCAATATCTGCATTATTGAAGAAAAAGGGGCATGCTTGGTGAATCACTCTATATAACAATTTGATTGGCTACCTATCGCTCAACCACTCATTTGTTCATGGACATACCATGGGGCATGAAAATATACTTACACCATCCCAAGATTCTTCATACTTTACTGATGGTACATTTTCTACATGAGAATCTGGACGCGCCATGTCTTCTGCCTCATAAATGGCTACATCAATCAATATTCTATCAGGGCAATTTTCTTCATGGTTCTAAAATTAACATAAAATTTGTATGAGTACCTATTACAAACAATTAAAAAAATCTATGTATATCTTGACTATAATATATTACCTTCAAATCTGTTTCAGGCATTACGTGTGATATATTGTAGATACAATGTCTAAAATGAGGTGGTTTATCAGGGCATCTATTCAAATGCTTGGTTAATTTCTTTTGTGGCATTGTATGAGCAACATTATATGGACAATGAAAGTTTTGGGTCTCCGGTGCCAAATGTCTACAGTAAAAATAAAAATAATGAAAACAATTTGTTAAAAAAAATTTAATCTTAATAATTAGGTAGCACCAAAAAGATAAAAATTGAATTTGATAATTCAAACCCCATGGGTAGTATTTTATGGGGCTGTCTGTAAAGACTTTGAGCTGTAACACAAGACACTTTATTTTAGCCTACAATCTTTACAGTTTGGAAATAAATTATAGAATTTGTTATAAATATTGACATTTTATTGGACTAAAGGTATTTTTAAAGTTTTAATATTTTGTTATTCATCAATATAAACACAAATATTTTTATTTGTAAATTCAAAAAAGTAAAAAGAAAGAGTAGGTAAACACATTTAAGTAATTACTGGGTAAGTTCTATAACTGGGAATGAATGTTCTGCTTTAATTATTATGATAAAACATTAACCAAAAGAGCTTATTTTGAATACTAGAGAATAAATGGTTTAAAATAATAAATATTGTGTTATTAATGGCCTGAAAAATAGATTTTTTGCAGAAAGTCTGAGAATTGGTGTAGGTGTTGACAATTTAATTTAATTAAAATATGGAGAAAATATTGAGTTTATTAAAAGCATAAAGTAGGTACCCATGAATTTTAAAATTATATGAGAATTTAAAACAAATTCTGATTACCTACCTACCTACTACTTTTTTAAACTAATTTTAATTTTCTAAAAAATATTAAATATAAGTGTAGAATACCTAAGGGGCTATAATGCTGGGTCATAGAAGATTTGAAATTTATGAGACCACAACCTATTGTCAAAACAATATTTGTTCAAATTTTAATTTTTAATTTTTGACCGCAGTATTGACAATAAGTCATAAGTCATAACTTTTACATTCTTCCTCATGTGAACGATCATTTACAGTAGAGGCACAACGACCAGTTATATGTTCATAAACTTATCAATATACCATATTGAAGGAGATATAATAAATTTATTAGCTACAAAAGATTCAGAAAATGTATTATATTTTTTCTGAAAAATACAGACGTCCAAATTTAATAAATTATAAAATACAATTTTAGGTTGACAATGAGTAAAATATAAATTGTTTTTTCAAGAAAATGTTCACTTTTACAATTTCAATTAAATCAAGTTGAGTATTTCATAGTATTTAAAAATTTCTTCTTTCTACTATTTTACTTTTGTCGAGACTTTTGTAGACATTTTTTAAATGAAAAATAGATCTGTTGACAACCATACAAAACATCAACATGTGAAACCTGCATGTACCTATTTATTGTCTCTTTCAAACATACAACATGAGCAATACCTATGTATTCAGAAAAACTAATTTGTGTTGTTAGCTTTAATAATATAGAGAATTGATCTATTATCAAATTTAAAGGTAAGAATATTATCTATGAACTATTGTCCGCTATTATTTAAATATTAAACTCTCATTAAAATTGTAATAGCTTACATAGTGTTAGGTATCTCACTTTAAAATTAAAATATCAATATGACATGCACCTACTTGATATTATTATAATTATAATTATATAATATTCTTACCTTTAAGTTTCATAATGGTTAATTTCACTCTAATATGAAAGCTAACACAAAATTGGTTTGAATCAAAGCAAATTTGCTATGTTGTATGTTCGTAAGATGGAGATAGCACAAGTAAGGCGTCCTCTTAATATAATGGTGCAGTTATAATTTTGCGGACAAATTTAATTTAATTCATTTTAATGGTTTCAAAATAGTAATTAAAACCAAGCAAGGATTAAACACAGCTGTCAATTGTAAAAAAATGTTATTACATTTTTACCATGATGTGTATGTAATGGAACAACCAAATTTTGATGGCACGAAATATTTTAAAAAACTTTGGGTTGAACATATAGGTACCTATTTAAATCTACAACAATGTTTATAGAATTGTAAGGCTTATAACATATAAGTAATTAGGTAGTTACTTACAATAATTCCATCTTGATTCGTGCTGAATGATGAATACCCGAAGTTTAAAACAACGTTGGTCTAAAATGCACACACTACCACATAGTACAGAGCAACGTCTTAGAGCCAAATAGGTACGATGACGAAAAAAACAAACAACGTTCTACAACAACCACGGACTAAGATATAATGGACTGGAAACGAGCAGCTTATCATGGCCACGAATGTAAGTACAAGAGGCAAAGTGCGGGGGGTCGCTATCTGTTCTTGGAGTTCACAGCGCCCCTGTATTTAACACGGACTAAGATACAAATTGTGTAGCCAAATAAAACCACCGGTAGCGCTGAAAACTTCAAGAACAGTATTCTTATCAGCTAAGTGACATCTTTGCGTGGCCGTCCCCCGATCCCCGCCGACCATGTCGTTTCCAGTCCATTATATCTTAGTCCGTGACAACAACTAAAAAGCGGCGGTCTGCGGCGGTAAGGCGGTAAAGATGTAATACGTAATATCGCATTACTCCGGTCCGACAGAGGGCGTTCTGTCGCGGCGGTACAATTTAGATCGCGACGACAGGAGATACAGTTGTACAAAATTACAAAATTCCGCGCGGGTACCTGTCGATCTGTTGCTATTTATTATTTATATTTATTATTTTTTATTATATTTTTTAAATGGCTGAAGAAACTGAAATGCTCATTGAGCAAGTAAGAAAGTATGTGTATTTATTCGACACATCTCATGAGTATTATAAAAATGTAGTAAAAAAAGCCGAGCATGGAATAAAATATCCGAAACACTAGGTATAACCAGTAAGTTTTGGAACGAATGCAGTTTAGCTCCCAAGCGATTTTTTGGTTTATTAACAATAACATAAAAAGTAAGTACGATAGACAAATTCTGATTCCACCAAAATGTTGAGCATACAAATACAAACATTTCTAAAAAAAAAAAAATTCTAAAAACTTAAATTTTTGGTATTTTAAATTCAAAAACACGATTTTTGAAAAAATTGAGCATTTTGAAGTTTTTTTACCATTACTTCCAAAATAAGTTCGACCGGCTTTTTTTGAAAGTACCATCAAATTAGGCATGCAAAAACACACATTTTGAAAAAAAAAATTCCAAAAAATCGCTTGGGAGCTAAACTGCATTTATGCCTAAAATATAATAGATTTAATAGAATAGACTACTATATTTACAGTCTTTATGTATCAAGTACCTATTTAAGTACCTATCTAATATAATATAGTAATTATTCACTATTTATTTATCGTATCAAAAATCAATCATCTATGTTCTTTGCTATACTAGTTTACTTGTATGTATTAATAATACAGTATTATATATTATATACTAAGTTTAATTAGTAGGCACCCACTAGTCCTACTATTTTATTAAATACTAGATTCTGGCGTTTGTCATCCCGCCTGCGGCGGAAAGACTGTGTGGGCGGTTGTGCATCTTTGTCGTTTCGTCTCGGGCTGGGTTTTTTGATCGGGGTCGTCGGGTATTGTGTTTTGTCGTGTTGGCAGCACTGGTTAAGCGGTAATTTTTGAACTCGGAAGAGTGTCTAGTCGTAAGTCACGCGATTCAAGTCGATCGTACGACACAGCCAGCCAGGTAGGCAATCCGACTACGTCGGATCGCAGACCATGCACCGGGCGTGTATGTTTGGTTCTCGTATGTGTGTTGAAATCGGAAATTCGGGTTCTGAGTTTGAGTGTCTAGCTATCAGTCATCTCGGGTGAAAGTCGATTCCGAGTGTCGGATGCAGTGGGGGTGTAAGTCGCTCGTATGCAAGTAGCTAGTCTGGTAGGCAATCCGACTACGTCGGATCGCAGACCATGCACCGTGCGTGTATGTCCGGTTCTCGTATGTGTGTTGAAATCGGAAATTCGGATTCTGAGTTTGAGTGTCTAGCTATCAGTCATCTTGGGTGAAAGTCGATTCCCGAACGGACAATCCACCTACAGCGAAAAGTGCTCGAAATAGCCGTTCAAATCTGAAAAAGCATACAGGAGGTAACAAACCGTTTCAGCGTCCCGGTGAATTCCGAACGCGATTTCGACGTCCGCTTCGAGCGTCGTAGCTGGCGATCTGAGCCCTCGGACGTCGATTTTGCGAAAAAAAAATCGAACCTCCCGACGCACGTATAAATGCCTGTATATAGTGATACCTACTCGACGGCGGAGCCGCGGGACGTCCGCTTTTCGCGACCCACGGGACTCGTTTTTTTTAGCGGGGAACGCGAATAAGTCTTTGCCGGGGCCGTGCGAAGTCCACAAAGGCGGTGATACTCGAATTTTGAAAAAAAATCAAAACATTTTCGTTAAATATGATAAGGCGGGAGTGGTAGCGAAAAATTAATAACGAAAAAAAAAACACGGCTGCCGCAAATTAATTCGAATCCCGGCGGCCGGATCGAAACGATGGACCCCCGGGTCATCCGTACCTACGCCTAACCGACCTGCCTACCTACCGAGTTGAGAAGTGGTGTCAAATCAACGACTCTTAAGCCGTTTCGCCGTCCCCACGAATGGCGTTTGAGCGGACGACCGTGTCCGCCGCCTTCGGACGTTCAAAACGCGAGATTTGCGAAAAAAATCGAACCTCGAGGCGCATGTATACAGGTGATTGATTTAACATAAAACACTCATTATCTCAAAAAGTATTAATGTTTTTGAAAATATTGTTTTAAATAGTTTCAAGTTGTTAAAAAAACAACGTTTTCATTAAAAAATTATATTTTTTATCCTTATAGTTTTTTAAGTTTTTTACTTTTTTGAATGACAGCATAGAGTTTTAATTTCATATTCCAAAGCAGAATATTTTTCTAAGTATTTTGATACATTTAGATGGGCGGTGTAGTGGATAAACATTTTGCGGCGTAACCCCATACCACTCCACTCCGCTCATCTAAACTTAAAATACTTATAACTCATAGACTACTCGTCCTGAGTTCGATTTTTATGTATCAAAATACTTAGAAAATTATTCTGCTTTGGAATATGAAATTAAAACTCTATGCTGTCATTCAAAAAAGTAAAAAAATTAAAAAATTATAAGGATAAAAAATATTTAAAAATATAATTTTCTAATGAAAACGTTGTTTTTTTACCAACTTGAAACTATGTAAAAAAATATTTTCAAAAACATTAATAATTTTTGAGATAATGAGTGTTTTACGCTTAATGAATCACCTTGTATATGCCTGTATTTTAGCGATACCTACACGGTACCTACTCTCGTTTCCGACACGCCAATCCACCCCGGGACTCGTCTGTGGTTATAAATTTAGCGGGGAACGAGAATAAGCCGTCGATGGGGAGGGTGATACGACTGAAAGGGGCTCTAAAAAAAACTCGAATTTTCGAAAAAAACGGCAAATGGAGCAGTCATATAGTCGTACTATTTTTTAATATAGTATTTATAATCTGTAGCAGTATTTAACCAAATCGGATCACTTAAAAACTGTAATATATCAAGTAGGTACCTACTACACGTAGGTTAGTTATATTATAATGTATTTATAAAAGAAACATGTAGGTGCGTCGGTAAAATCAAGTATTAATTAAATGTTAATTATAATTATTTTTTTGCCCAATAAATATTGTCAAACGAATAATATTATTTTTTTTAAATTTGCTAAAATGTAATCTGAAAATGATATCTTCTGATTGTCAGGAGCAATAGAAAATAGTTCATAAAATGCATCAGACATTTCAGTAGAAGGAAAAAAAGCCAATCCAAATAAATATTTTAACCAATGTGAAATTTCTGATTCATTTCCGTCGTATTCAATTTTAAGTCCCAATTTTGAAATTTGTCTATACCAGACTTACCCGAGATGAAACCGGCAACATTTAATTTGTGCATTTGGAAATACACGCAAAACGCCATTATGAGCAGATAGTTAAAAATCCAAAAGTATATTTTGAGGCTTTAATGCTTTCTTCCATAGTTTTTTTATTAAATGCCACATTTTTTCATAAATATCAGTTGTTTTGGATGGTAACAGACAATAACTAACTTGGACGTAAATTGATTTATGTAGAACATGAATTGTATAGAGTTGTTCAAAGTGAGCGGGACAAACGTAAAATGTACCATCGACTAAAATAGTATAACTATTATCGACTAAATATTCTAAATTAGTGTTTGTCGTTAATATTACAATTTTTGACTCTTCATCTACATGGCAAAATGTTTTATTACGATGTGTAGTTATACTATTGATTTTTAATTGTTGAATGAGTTTGAATAATGAAGTGGGTGCTGCAGGAATTATTTTCCGACGTTCTCTCTTCTATACATGGGTTTTCTTATATTAGCCATATCGTTGTGTAATAGTTCTGTAGTTTCAACCACCATCAGTTCACGATGAATAATTTTATTTGATCGCTCCGAAATACATTCAGTCGCCTTTCGTTTGCAATTATTACGAACTATTTTCGCTGAATATCCCGATAATCCACAGTATTATGACTGTACTAAATTATTGTACACAATACACCTTGATTTCTGTAAGTTAATATAAATGACATTTTAATAATCAATTTTCGAAGACTTATAATTTGAACTTTATAGCGAAAACCAGACACATACGCACACTTGACACGATTGTAGCACAGACACCAACTGATATAGGTCGATATCTGGTATACTATTCAAAACATTTCACTTGATTTTTAAATAAATATCAAATATAAACTATAAAATATATACTATTATATTATTATATTGTATATTATAGTTATCTTAAATGATTATCAACTGCCATCGTAATGTGTTACGATAAGACACAGACAAATGCAGCAACCTTCGCGACGCGTTGCTGCAATATGTCGTGAAACGGGTTGTATATATGCAAAGCGTCGAGCGTCAGTAAAATATTGTGTCAAGTTATACAATTTATTTTTGCGCTTTTATCCCACTACCAAGGTACAAAATTAGTTTTGAGTTATCGAAAAAAAGGTCGATTTGAGCTTTCGGGCTTCACCAAATATAGAATATTAGCATGGTTAATTTTAGCCATGGTGATGATATCATCTGGGCGGTATCATGTCTTTACGCCGACGGTATCAACGCCGACGGTATCTACGCCGATAGCATCGACGCCGACGGTACTACGCCGACGGTATCTACGCCGACGGCATTTACGCCGACGGCATCTACGCCGACTAGTATCTACGCCGACGGAAAAAATGCCGACGAGTATCTACGCCGATAGTAAATACGCCGATGGTATGTTTTTTTACAAAACGAATGTGTTTCTATGGGACTAATATAAGAATAAAAATTAACTAATATGAAACTGAAAATTTTGGAAAATTAATTATGTTATTAAATAATTAAAAATAAAATAAAACTCGTTGTTGCCTGGTTTTTTTTAATAATAAATATTTTTTAGCTCTGAAAAGAGCCTTTTTATGTCCTAAAAAGGACATTTTTTAAAACAACGAGTGGACCCTAAACTTGGACATTTAACAAGATTGGAATTGAAAATTATGAGCAATTCCCTGCAAATAATCGGAGGTGTCGCGATTCCCATCGTCTTTAACGATTTCTTTAATTCGCAATGCTGTGTCTCGATAACACCGTCGTCCCTGTGCTGGTGGTAATCTAGCAATGTACCTACTGGTTGATTTGGAATTCATTAGGCTCTGCTGATTTTGCAGACCCTCAATGAATTTCCAAATAGATGGATGATTTGCTCATAAAAGAGAGCTGAATCCTCGATGCCAGCCTTCAACGGCGTTGTTAGTTTTGGGTAGATCATTCAACGATGCCTCGTAACAATTCCAGAGTCTCAGCATAAATTTAGGAAGCATTCTTCTAAGGCCGATTCGTCGGTCAGTTCGATTCTAACATTCGGTCTTGTAAGAAGTCAAAAGCAACCATGCCACTTGAATTTGTTTTAAGCCAGAAGGGCAACCAACAGTTGATCAATAAAGGTTTTGTGTATACCACGGACAAAATCAAAGAAGACAAACACATACCCATAACTGTGTTATCGAGACACAGCATTGCGAATTAAAGAAATCGTTGAAGACTATGGGAATCGCGGCACCTCCGATTCATTGCAGGGAAATGCTCATAATTTTCAATCCCAATCTCGCTAAATGGCCAAATTTAGGGGGCAATCGTCGTTTTAAAAAATGTCCTTTTTAGGGCATAAAAAGGTTCTTTTCAGAGCCAAAAAATATTTATTATTAAAAAAAACTAGGCAACGACGAGTTACGTATTTTATTCTTAATTATTTAGTAACATAATTAATTTTCCAAAATTTTCAGTTTCATATTAGTTAATTTTTATTCTTATATTAGACATTAGTCCCATAGAAACACATTCGTTTTGTAAAAAAAACATACCATCGGCGTATTTACTATCGGCGTAGATACTCGTCGGCATTTTTTCCGTCGGCGTAGATACTAGTCGGCGTAGATGCCGTCGGCGTAGGTACCGTCGGCGTAAATGCCGTCGGCGTAGATACCGTCGGCGTAGATACCGTCGGCGTCGATGCTATCGGCGTAGATACCGTCGGCGTTGATACCGTCGGCGTAAAGACATGGAACCCATCTGGGCATGGGTGGGAGTCACCGATAACGGTGTGTGTGACTCTCCCCAAATACTATATACGATAATACAGGACACTCTGTATTAAAATAGTGGCGAACAAATTGTTATCATTGCCCCGCGAGATTGTTATAAAAGTTGCCTATTTTACCCCTTAATCTGGTATAAATTCCTGCTTTTTTTGAATATTAATTACAAATACTATATACGATTATATTATTATAATACTAAATTATTAATATTATAGTAATATTGTTTGTTTTAGATTCTGAGTGGAACGATGAATGTATTGATTTTACAATGATGTGTGTTTTTATTTTTATTTTTTTATTTTTTTATTTTTGTGTCTGTGTACACGATAAGTAGTCGAAATAATGCTTCGATTTTCGACTTCAGTATCTTGTTCGATTGGAAAGTGAATATCGTTGGTGCATTGGGAAGGTCAAAATTTAAAATTCCCAGTACTTTTCAAAAGCGCCAAGAAAAACAAAAGAAAAATTAAGGAAAAACAGGAATTTTTACGCAAAATCGATTTTTCAGAAAATTGAATTTGGTTTTTGGTGTAACTTTAAAACAAATGACCGTAGATACATGAAATTTTCACTGGTTGCTTATATTTGCATTTTCTATACACGATAACATTTTCAAAATATTTTGATTTATTTTGAACTGTTTAGGGACATTTTCATTTTTCATTTTTTTTTAGTTTTTTTTCTAGAAAAATCAATAAAATTTTATTTGTTGGTTAAAAAAACTTGAAAATTTAATAGAAGGCTCCTAGTATATTGTTTCAAAGGCAGATGAAAAATATTAAAAATCGTTGGTCACAGTTTTTTTTTATAAGCATTTAAACTTCAAAAATTGACAAAATATGGAAAAATCACGAAAATTAGCAAATTATTTTGAGTTAAGAATTCGTAAAAATTTTTCTTTTTAAATCTAAGATTTGAAAATGTAATACAAGATTACTCATAAGTTTGTCTACCTTTATCAATAAAAAAATCTCTACCGGACAGTCAAATTAAATTTTTACGAGCGTTTGAAATTCAAATTTTTACTACATTGGATGTTCACTCGATTTCTCATGTAGCGATTTCCTTATTTTGTTGTTATTCATAAACGAATAACTATAGATACATGAAAATTTCACTGAATGTTTATATTAGCATTTCCTATACACCATACAATTTTGAAAATATTTTGACTCTTTTTGAGCTGTTTACGGATATTTTCATTTTTAAATTTTTTTAGTTTTTTTCTATGAATATCAATAAAGTTTTATCTGTTGGGCCAAAAAGTGTAAAAATGTAATACAAGGCTCCTGATATATTGTTACAATATCAGTTGAAAAATGTTAAAAATACATAGCTACAATTTTTTTTTATAAGCATTTAAACATCGAATTTTGACAGAATTTTTCAAAATCTCGAAAATTATTAATCATCGTAATTAATAAATTATAAAATATTCAGTTTTTATAGCTAAGGATTGAAAATTTAAAACAAGATTCCACGTAAGTAGTTAATTCTCTTACCGAAAAATCTGAAAAATATACAATCACTGTTTATTTTTATAGTAATTTTATGTTCAAATTTGGACGAAATTACATATTAAAAAACCTAGTTATTTTGTTATTATATAATATTATTCGTGGGTACCTACTTCTAACTTCTAATGTGTACTATTATATATCTATGATAGTATCAGGGTTTGTTATTGATATTCATGTATAACTTGTTATAAGTACCTAATGGATATTGTGATAATGTGATATGATTAATTTGGTATTTATTATAGGTCAATTTTATTTTAATACCATAGATATGTATATATAATTGGTCTTAAACCTAGACTGACATACCGTCTTCGCTCAGAATCGTTTTTCTTATACAATGATATTGTATCATTGAATTCAAATTTAATAGCATCCATTATACAGTGACCCACTTGTAACCTACTGTACAACAGAGCGACATCCACTTACTCACCTTTTTTATCATAATTATTATCATTTATTAAGTTCCTCGGTATGAATTGATGGCTGCAGTTTACTTTATGTCTTTATCCTCTTGCCAAAACATTGGAATTTACTAAACATGTTTCTGCACTTTTTCATGCAAACATTGAAAACCTTATTCTAAAAAAAAATGTAATTTAAAAAAGGATCTTAAACCTATTATAAGCCATATTTGTAAAAGGTACTCACTAAGTATATGTGAAGACTGCAATTCTCAATTTTTGGATACATTTTTAAATGGGAGTATTAATTGCTATGTGAAGAAATGCAATGATTCATTCAACCAATATAAATGTTCAAAAAATAAAAAGTTGAAAAAAGTAGTTCACGTTTGAGTACAATGTTTATTTAATTGAAAAATTATTATTAAGAGATATTCAGTTTTAAGCACTTATGTTATATTTGTGTTGTATAATTATTATGAAAAAAGTAAAATATATAAGTATAATATATGTTTTGAAATTTGAATTACATTTAATTATTACCTACTATAAAGCTTACATTTAACATTATATTGTTTAGGTATCGTATTTCCCAATACGATTTATGAACTTATGGAGATTTTAAGTATGTGTAAATATGCAAATACTATATAATCTAAAATCTAAATAATTTAATATTTCTAGTTAAAAATTATAATCGTTGATTGGCATTTGGCATTAGAAAATAAACAATAAAATTAAATCGGTGTTCTAAATTAATTTGTATTTATAAACATTTCAAGGAGTAAAATAGGCAACTACATTAACAATCTCGCGGGGCAATGATAAGAAATAATTCGCCAGTTTTTATATGCCAGTGTCCTGTATTATCGTATATAGTATTTGCTCTCCCATACTAAGTCAGTTATGACTAGTTAGCGCTAGTGAGCGGAGGTCCGCACGGTGTGTGTGAGGACCCGAGCTGCGTTTGAGACTTTAATATACTGAGTGATTAATTCTAATTGTGCGTTGATTTATTTAGTAGAATAGTTAACATTATCAGAAGTGGGATTCGAATTGAAGAACGTAGTTGTAGTGCGTATTTTATGACCACCGTAGTCGTCGTGCGAGTAGTGACGTTCGCGTAAACCGTTCTTAGTGTTGGTAGTGCGTTGCGAATACGGAATTGTCATTCTACGATTGTCGCTCGTTAAGCGTTGTCGATACGTCGTACGTATAGTGTGCTTATAGTCGATGGTGACTGTATTGCTATTAATTGTATTGGTCCATCGTCGTTTCGAGTTCCGACGAAATGTGGTTATTGTTGTGACTTCGTGAACTAAATTCGAGGTTAGGTGCGACGTTGTTGATAGCAGCGGTTGGTACCCGTGAGTACGCTCACCCCGGTCGATTTGCGCGATCATTGCTGTGACACTATCAAGTGCCGTGTGTTGCTATTGATAAGTGATAACGCTGATAGACGATACGATTGGATCTGCGCCGGGACAAATCCCAACGTTCCAAGTGCTTATCACGCATGCGCCAGGATTTAACATTTTGACAACATAATTTCTTATCAACCATTTCTATACTTATCAGATTATAAAAATAAAAACCATTTATTGGTCTATATTTTCCGCGCAATATTTGAAACATAGTATACTTTTTTTCATAGTCTAAATACTAAGCATTAGGATACATTGAGATAAGTATATGATACAACAAAATGTCAACAGATAGGTAATAAAATATGAAATTTATTAGTATTTGATATCTGTAGTTATTTATACATATATTTTGGTATTGGAAATGCCAAAATCTGTTTTCATCATAGTTTTGTTGTTGTTTATGAATCTGTTCTGACTGTTGAAAGTGTAAACTGTTTTAGCTGTAACAAAAAGTTGTTTTTAAAAAATGTCTGTTAAATGTGAACTATGCAAAAATAATTATTCTTCTATGTCTAATTTAAATAAGCATAAGAAGAAAAAACATCTTGATATTTTATCTGAGGTATTTAATACATTTAGTTTATAATTTTTATCTCTTCATTTACATACACAAAAAAATAAACCCCATCATATTGAACATTTATTAATATTTTTTCACCACAGGTTATAGACAAAGTATGTTACCAATGTAACTACTGCAATGAAACTTTTAATTTAAAAAAAAAACTAGTTAAACACATTGATCTCCACATGAATCGCACTAAACTGCATACAAATATTATATGCCAATTTGATAATTGTAGTACAAAACTAAAAACTTTTAAATTGCTCATAAGTCACTTACAAACTGACCATAATCAGACAATGAAAGTAGAACTAATCAACTTTAATACTATGGAAGGTAAATATTAAAATTTTTAACAAAAAAATAGGTATATGTTTTAATTTATCTTAAGGTTCTTCATACTCAGGTCACACTTATCAGTTTTAAAATAATTATTTATACATTTATAATATATAATGTTTAGAGTTTTATGAATGGAAAAAACAAATAGAAGACAAAAATTGTAGTCAATATGTTATTACATCAAAAAAACAGCGCGGTAATGTAGAATATATATATTTTGATTGTCATAGATCTTATAATCCACGTCTTTTGAGCAAGGTAAGTTGTGTTTACATATTAATTTATTAATTCAAATATTGTATATAATTGTATATTATTGTGGTATTGTTAATTGGTATGTATTATTTATAAAGGGAGAAAAAAATTCAAAAGCAAGTGTAAAAATTGGCTGTGTTTTTCCATCACGTATACGCTTACATAAAAAAGAATCTAATATAGAAGTACAATATCACAGTACTCATCTATGGCACGCCAATGAAATAGGAAAACTGAGATTGCATAAAAATGACAGATCCCAATTAGCAGGTACCTAAATAATTTACATAAATATAAATTTACATTATTATCATAGCTACTTACGTTTTACATTGTAACACACTTCTAGGTAAATTATCCATGGGTGTACCAGTACAGAGGATATTAAATGATGTCTATTGATGCTTTAATGTCATTAGTACGAGACAAGAGTTTTGAAAGGATGATCAAAATGTCCAAACAAAAAAGATCTTCAAAAATAATACAAATTATTGCAAGTCACAATAAAAGTACTGATATATTATCAAGTATGATTAAAAAGGTTGAAGACTGCTGGATAGTTACATCTGAAAAATGTAGAAATATTACGTACAAAGTAGAGAAAAGAGTTGCAACTTGTCATAATTGTGCACTATGCTGTAATGTATGTGAAATTTGTATTCATACCTATAAATGTACTTGTAAGGACAATGTCATATATTTAAATATCTGTAAACACATTCATGCATGCGCTAGAGACAATAAATCAATATCAAAAAATACATCAATAACATCTCCAATAGTGTTTGAAAATAATTTAGTTATAGATAATCAATTAAAATCTTTTGAACCAAAGAAAGAATCAGAAAAAAGTCTCCAAATAAGAAGTAAGATGGAAATGATGTTTGGTATGTATAATAGATCTAACTTACCGGAAGATGATGAAAATAGTGTTATGAAATATTGTGATAAAATATTAACTTTACTTTCCAAAAATGAAGACACAAATTTTAAAAAAACTGATATTAATAATAAAAGAAAAATAGAATCCCAAGTACGTTTTAAGAGCAATAAAAAAGTTAAAACTTCTGAATATAATATAAATATGAGTTCAGCAGAAGAAAATATTATCAGAACATCTTTACTAGATAAAAATAATGATGTATTAATTATAAGTGAAGACAAGTTTAATCATACTTACTTATAGTTTTGAAAAATGAAAATATTGACCAATGACCATTGTTTATTATTATTATGTATTTATGTATTTTTGTGTGTTATTGTACAATGAATGGTTTTTATTATTATTTATTAACGAAATACGAAACGAATGTCAAATAGTCGAATATTGATTTATATTATTTTTTTTTGTATTTTTGTGTGTTATTGTACCTACAATGAATGGTTTTTATTATTATTTAATATTTATTAACGAAATACGAAACGAATGTCGAATTTATTATATAATTTACTATAATCTGATAAGTATAGAAATGGTTGATAAGAAATTATGTTGTCAAAATGTTAAATCCTGGCGCATGCGTGATAAGCACTTGGAACGTTGGGATTTGTCCCGGCGCAGATCCAATCGTTAGACGATACCGTTCAAAATGGTCGACGATGACGTTAATGAGCAAGGAGGACAGTGGTCACAAGTTCCGAAGGCGCCGACCTACAATGAGATTGTCGCGCTCATTTGTAAATTGCAGGAGAGATTATTGTCCAACAGGCCTGAGTCGGCCGGAGACGCGGAAATCCGCGAACAGCATAATCGATCGATGTCAAAGTCGAGTTCGCGCCAACCCGCGTTGGATTTCCGTGTCTTACCGGACATGGACAAAACGATCGGAGTTTTCAATGGTCGCGAATCAACATATGCAGCCACCGACTGGCTTACATCAGTCGAAGGTGTGGCTGATTTAAATTGTTGGCCGTTCGCATACCGATTGTACAGTTTGTACGTGTGAACGTACTGGGAGCAGCCAGAGATTGGTTTGTAGGCCGCATGTTCCTGAATTGGCCGGATTTCAAAACACAGTTTAATGCGACGTTTATATGCGCTCTACGCATGTCTGATCGCTGGGACGCTTTGCGTAGGAGCAACTAGAATAAGGATGAACATTCTATGGACTACTTCCAGTCGAAAGTGAGACTGTGCCGCGATCTCTCCCTGACGTTCGATGAAGTACGGGACCATGTAATTCCAGGTCTGCATCCACGTGAAATGGCCACGTATGCTCTGTGCAGAGTGCATAGAGACGAAAATGATTTATTAGCAGACATATTGGACTGGGAGCGGATGGACTCGCTGAGGAAAACGGACTCGAAGTCTGATCGACCCGTCAAGTCCAAGGATTCGTAAAAAACGAGTGAGCAACGGAGTCAATTGGCTGGAACCCGATTGAGCACAGTTTACCTTTTTCATTACCCAATTGAGCATAGATACAATTAAACAATAGAAATCCAAAATATAACACGATTGAGCATAGAAATAAGTACAATGTTGCCGTTCCACACATCAAAATAAAAATTTAAAAAAATTGAAATATTTACAGGAATTATTTTATAATAATCATCAAGCTATTAATTAGTGTATAAAAATATAAAATGAAATTATTTTACAAATATATACAATATACATAGTTTATGTCCAATACAGAATATTAGTCTTAAAGTTAATAATAAAATAATAATTACATAATATAATAAACAATATTAAAGTTCATTTGTTTTATAAATATATAATATAATTCATATCCTATACAGATTAGTCTTAAAGTTAATTTATATATTTGATTTGAATATTTGTATTATGTGTCAACGTTTTAAAGTGGTATCCCTAAATACTTGTTTTCCACTTTTAATAAATATTTTAGTAAATCTTTAGAACATTTATTTCTTAAATATTCATCGTAAGCCATTATAGTTGCATTAATTTTTTGCATTTCAATAAAACTCATACTTTTATAACTGTCGGTTTCAATTGACCGAATTTTTGTCATCGTTTCAGCTTGCGTTTCTTATAAAACCATAATTACCAAGTGTATGTGTGGGTGAGACTTATAAAATTGTGAATTGTAAGTTCTATGAAAACTTTCAACAGCGTTGGTTGTCCTAAAAAAAAAACATTTCATAGAAATTAAATTAACATTTTTTTTTATATTTAATATAATTAGATTTTGGATGATCTACCTTGGATCAAACATAGGTTCTTTAGCCCATATATTTGGGGGAAATGGAGATTAATCATCTATATAATTATTGAAAACATAATCGCTAAATTCTGAGCAGACTTTATCATTTGGGCAGACACTCATGAGTTCGACGAATGCATCGGCTACTTCATGATTAGGTAAAAAAGCTAACCCAAAAAAACTCTTAAGCCAATTTCCTAGTTCGTCGTTTTCTTTTTTATAGGCTATTCTGAGAATAGAATCGCTGTTTATCTATAATAATAATTAAGAATACAATTAATGTATAATTCTTTGATTTGAAATTATTTTGAACTTACTTTTCGCCACCATGATTGTCCTAAATGAAATCGACAAGCTATTAATTGTACATTTTCAAAAACTTCATAAATACAAAATATTTGGGTGCGTAATTAAATGTACCATCGGCGAAAAAATCAATACAATCATGCTTAATCATAAATAGTAGGTTGAAATCAGAAGTAATGCATACAAAATATTGTCTTCGGGAATATGGATGAATGGTTGTCCACGAAACTTAAAATCATCTTGAGTTTTCATTAAATTCAACTGTGAAAAAACGTCTTCCGGTGACTTAGGCAATTTGGGAAGTACTTTTCGTCGTCTATCGTACATAGCTTTAC